ATTCTATTTGAAACTTATTTTCCATCAAATATCTCAAGTTCCAAAGGTATACACCACTGAAGCTATTTCTTCACCCCTTTCCTCCATCAGGGGCTGTCAAGAGACTGAGGAACCCTAAAAGCAATCTCTTCAAGCTGAAGAAGCTAATTGGTAAAAGGCTATTATTAGCACAAAAAAAAAAAAAAAAAAAAAAAAAAAAAAAAAAAAAAAAAAGAAAAAAGAAAAGATCACTTAATATAAGATGTGACAGCAAAAGATAGCACATAGTCGATTAAATGAATTAATTGATAAATTAATTTTCTACAAAATGGCACATAGATCACAAGACAGAAGAAATATCTGATAAAAAATGGGCGTTCACAGTGTGCTAATGTTGCTTGAGTGGAAGGTATTGGATGATGCTAGAATTCATCTACAGATGAACCACAAAAACTTTATCAGCTAGTGCTATAGTAAAGACAATAGACAGAGTCAGTAGTCACTGGAGGTAACACAGTCAAACACCAATACTTAACAGTAATTAAATGAATCAGCCTATTGATTCTTGCTTATCTTAGTACTGAATAGTAAAAAACAACAACACAAAAACAAAAGAAAACAACAACAGTACTTAATATTCATCTATCAGTTTTAGACGTTCAATTTCCTGAGAGCAAAGGGACAAAACTAAATGCTTTAGGAAGGTCTCTTGTAACTCTGAAATAAAACTTTAGCCTAATTCCAGTTAAATTAAATGCTAGGAGAAGTTCTAATTTGAAATGGGATTGGTTTATTGTCAGTCTATATATTCTCTTCTTTCTATATCCCTGAGGACATAGGGCATACTAATATATACACCAGTTAAATAAAATGAAAGAAAACATAATTGTAAAATTTTTAAGAACTCTTGAAAATAGGTAAAATTGAATGGTGAAAAAGATGATCTAAGCTTTCTTACATGGAATTCACTAGTTTTACTGATAAAAGTGATTTTTTCCCCAAGTACGTCTTCCCTTAACTTTAAGTACCAGTGTTTGGAAACAAATACACAGCCAAGTGCAAAAAGAAACCCAGTACCCTTGTCTCTATTATTCAGGAAATACTTTTTTAAAGGTCTAAATCCTATGTATTCCTTTCCTACATATTATTTTTCAATATTTACTGAGATAGTAACTTCTCTAGGGAAGACAAGTAGGGAATAATTAACCAACCTTGAGTATGTGCAGACAGGAAAAAGTCTAGAAGTACTGCCTCCTGGGATGTCATTAATTCAATGCATCTGAGAATACATTATCAAATCTTGGTGAACATTGCCTTCTAAGTATTTCTTTATCTTTTTAATACCGCTATTTCTCCAGACACAAGCACTTAACCACTACAGTAATCTTATAACAACCCCAACTTCTTCACTCTTTTAATCTTGTTTTTCTCAAGGACTTTTGCGATGTGAATTTTAATAGATAATCCCTATGTGTAAACCACTCAGTGGCTTTCCAACTAAAAAGTAAGTTAACTAGATGCATGAAGACCTAAAAGGAATGACCCTACCTCTGCATGGAGATTCATTCTGTAGTCCCTTCCATGGCTCTGCACCTCCACCACTTACTCTGGTATTCTTTTAGTCTCTAAGCATAATACTTTCTTTTACATCTAAAGTCACTTCATATTCACTGGTTCTTCAGTTAACCATTTCTTTTCTCCTTTTCTGTCCAACGAACACTCTCTGGTCAAAAATCACTCCCTAAGCAAGACTCCCTTGACCATCAATATCCTATGGCCAAACCAGAAGTGGTGCTGAACACTTATAATTTCAGCATTGAGGAGGCCAAAGTAATAAAATCATGATTTCAAGGTCATCCTGAACTAGACAGTGTGTTCCTGGAAGACATGGGCTACATAATGAGATTGTGTTTTTAAAAAAATTAGAGTAACAATAACAAAAAGTACACAATAGCTTTCCTATCCTCTTATAATTGAAGCTCTCATAATATATTCCACATATTCATGACACATTTTTATGATTGCTTGATTAACCATTTCCATCTTTTCAATTGAGCACACACTCTAAAAGATAGGAAACAGTGTTTTATGTGCTATGTGGTCATCGTACATTAATGTTGACTTCTTGGCAGATGTTTACTATATATGGATTGAGCTGATGTTTGAATAAATGGAAACAATTAAAAAACATTCATTTAATAATTTAGAGTTGTGCATATTAAGCACCATTTGCTGATAAGAAAAATAATCCTCATCTCAGAATTTAGATTGTACAGGGACAATGAATGCTCAAATCTTATATAAAATAATTCTCATTGCATATAACCTATTCAAGGGCCAATATAAATAGACCAAAAGAAGCTATCACAGAATACTATCCTACAAGAACAGAATTAGAGCTACCCACCAAAAAATATCAAAAATTAGTATCATGTCCAAACTAAAAATATGAGCAAATATTTAACAAGTTTTAACTGAAGATGAAAAATGACTCTATTAAGCAGCAAATGACTCTATGAGCAGAAAGCTTTATAAGTAGAATCAAAACAAATGAAAAATAAAGATTTGATATGAGAGACAAGATGATAAGTGTGTTGAAAAGGTAAGATTGGAAGGCTTAGTAGGAAAGTAAGTACTTAAAAATATGGTATATGATGTAATGAGAGTTCAGTAATATATAATCAAAGTAAGGTCAAAGAAACCAATGACAATTCAACACAAACATTGTTTTAAATGGATATATATTACCAAAATGTACTTATTAAAAATAGGCACAAAGTAGTATTTCTGTGATGGTGATGCTCTTATCTTAAAAGGTGAGGGACCTAATATTTTATTGAGCCTGCCACAAGGTAATGGGTCTAGAAAATGAAACTCTGGGTCTAAAATAAAAGTAACATTTTAACAACAAACTGCATGATATTAGTGCTTGCATCATTTTCTTACCTTACTTTGAATTACACAAATAAGATATGGTGTGACACAGATAGATCTTGTACACATAATTAGTATATATTACAGCTAATGAACCCAAAACATAGAAAACACAGAAAAACCTAAAACCTAAAAATATATCAAAGAATCTATAAAAGAGACATCTATCAAACCCTCTACATTATTGCTCTAGAGCAGCCAATACCTTTATTATCTGCAATTTTCTAGGTGACCTGATCTGTATTTTGGCCACACAGATATCTTTGAAGAGATAGTCAGGCTAAAAAGTCTATAATGCTTTTGCTCCAAAGATATTCAGTGACCAAGCCTTCAGAAAATTCACACAACTGTTGCACTCAAAGTGGACAAGAAATGTACAAAAGTATAAATATGTATCTTGTTTATAAATTAGTCTCAATATTATCTATCATGTAAAGTTGATTTCAATCTATGACATCTTGTTCTCTATAAGCAACACTGATCAACTTACCTACCTATCAATATCTCTATATATTCTATCTTCTACATATAAGGATTTCTGTTTTAACTAAAAAAAAGAGTAAATAGTTATTAAATCTTCTATTAAGGATATCATTATAATTGCATTTGCAGATTTTTATGCTTAAAGAAGTAGAATGATGGTTTTAAAGAAGTAGATTGATGATTTTGTAGGCCTAAAACTGAACCAAATAAAAAGAAATATAGTGAGAAACAGATTCATATTACAGGATAAATTGCCTTAAATACCTTAATATGCCTGTATTATTATAAACCAATTAGGAAAATAATCTATTAATTTCTTGATTGTAATAACATTGGCAAAAATGTAAAGTCAAATTAATTGAATAAAATATTATAAATGGTGAATTATTGATATGGTAGTTACTTTTTCTTAGATGAAGCCATTAAGCGATCAGCAACAGGAATCCTTTTGTCTTTTATGACCTAGCCATGGAAGTCATATTGAGTCAGTTTTGCAATATCTTATTGGTCAAATAGGTCAGCCCAGTTTATTACTCTTACATACTTACAAAGGCATGGATACTAGAAAATGTGGCTTACTGAGGGCCATTTTGGAAGTAGGCCACACAGTTTTTTCTTTGGCACCCCAATAATCACATAACTTCCACATATGAAATTGATATATCTCCTCTTAAAACCTAAAACTGTCTCCAGCAACTATTGTATAACATGAAGTCCAGGATTTCTTCATCTAATATTCAGATTCTAGTGTGGGTGTGTTTTTTGTGTATAGTTCATCAATTATAATTCTTCATTAAGATACATAGCCTGCCTTCCAGAAAGCCAAGATAAAATGTTGAAATAGGCATAGGGTGACCACTATAAACTCTCCTGTCCACAAAGAAACAAAGAGAAGCTCACAGGCATCACTGACTTGCAATATTGTTAAAAACTGACAGGGAGTATTACAGTTCTTTGATTATGGTTCAAAATTTGGAGTGTTCCTGCTTTCTCAACTCTCAGTTTCATATTTTTAATAAGCTGTCTTTTCTATAAAAGGAAGCCTCTTTTTAGAACTGAGTAACTTTGCAGCCTGATACTACCTACGGAAGTTCAGGGGTCCAAAAGTCTCTTTGTACTTCTGACTTCTCTATGCCTTTTAATACACATTAGTGATATATCGGATAGTATACTTTTCTTCAAAACTTTGAATCCTTTATACATTTTTGTTACTGAACTGAGCAAAAGTCACATCAACATATCCTTCTGAGATAAGACCATGTTCATTTCAAAGTTATCGCTCCCCCCAGGAAACCAACTAACGAAGAGATCCTGAGAGGACCTGTTATTTATCTCAATTCTCTGAAGTATTCTGAGATCTTAAATAAAAATTTTGTTGTTATTCTCTTGTACTCCTTTTAACCTAGCTATTCTTGAATGTACTTTGAATTTTATCTGTCCTAAAAGGTATTTCTTAATTTTAGCATCATTTGTCATCTGAAGAGGCTAAAGATTTCAATCTAGGTAAATACCATCTTAATAATTAATAGTCCTTTGATTTCTATTCCTACTTTTTCGTCTCCTATGCCATCGTTTTCTGTGATGGATAGGAAGTGCTCAGGATTCTTGAGGTCTATCCCCATGGGGCTTCTCCTGTGGCTGCATATCTTTGGAAATGCTTCACAGCCCAACACTGTGGTTTTAGCTTTCTTCATAGCTCTATATCTTAGGCCTGTGATAAGGCAGTTACAAGACATAAAATGTATGAGAGACCTAATAATTTTTCTTTTAGTTTTTTATATTCACATATCCTAGACATCTATACTACTCTGGGAATAGCTTAGGGTGTCAGAGCAAGACAGATCCATCTATCCTAAATGCTCCTAAAGTGTAAATTGCGGGAAGGATTTTGGATAGAAGATCTCAGGAGTTTTGAAGTTGTCATTGTCCATAATTCAAGTGGAGATGAAAGAATCCTGCGCAGATAAGATGGGTGGATTAAGCATCGTTTCCATGAAAAAGGGCTATCTTGGAGACAAATAGCCTCATTAAAGTGACCTTTATGAACTTTGAAGGAATTACATGTGAAATCCCTTAAATAAAAATTTATTTAATTTTTTTACAAAATAAAAAAAAAGAAATATTCAAGAAGAACTTTCAATATTCTGTCAAGAAATCTTTCACTCAGTCATTCAGGCTATCTTGTATATTTTCTAATTTCCACACTATGAGAAATGAAAGTGTCCCTAAATATTACCTAATAAGAATCCCTTCTGTAAAATTCCATGTAGTATTTTCCTTACTTTCTTTTACGTATTCATTGATGGTTTCCTTATGGAAATGATAACTTCTACTAACAGTCTTTTCTTGGCCCTATAGCATTTTGCTTACAGTGTCTTTATACTCCCCTAACTTCAGTCTCTTTATACTCCCCTAAAAGCACAGCATTCCATACTTATAGGATTTGTTATCACAGCAGCTCACATCCATCTATCTGAATTTGTATCAGATACCTATTACTGTATAACAAACCCCAAGAAAGAAAAGATAGCTGTTTAAAACAATAATAGCATCCATATTATCTCTCATAGTTTCCTTGGGTCACAAAATTTGGAGTAGCTTGTTTGGCAGTTTGGACTTCAGGTTACTTGTGTTCTCTTTAAACATCAACCAGGCTGAAGTAATAATCAACATTGATTCCTTTAAATGGCTGGCAGGATAAAAGTAGCTCCAAAGGATGTCTCCAGCTGGATTGCTTCAAGGTCTCTGTCCCTAGATCTCACAAAACAATGATTAAATTTCCTCATTACATTTCAAATAGCTACCCCCAGGCAGATGGAACTAAGAAAACAAGGTAGAAAATATAACATGTTTTATGACTTATCTGTGGAAGTTTTAAACTATGTCTCTACTGTAGCCTACTGTTAACACAAATCAGCCTTATTTAATTCAGTAAAGGCAATGGAAATACAAAAAGATATAAACAACATGCAACTAGGATCATAAGGAATAATATTCAAGGGTTCTTGCCATAATATCAAACTCTTTTGAAGGTTTATGATATATCTCATAAATATCTTTGGATATTTTAAAGAACATTCACCAACAAATAATTTCTGTATTATAAACAATATATCTTTTGCATTAGTATACAATTTTTTCATAAAACGAAATCCATTGTTGCATCAAGATAATGAATACATGTGAACCTGAAAAAAACTTGTTTAATATTGTGGTTATTATTGGTGTCCACAAACATATTTATAAATATGAACCTAATGGTATAATTTACAATGTGAAGTCGGAAGAAAAGGGCCAAAGGTGTGGGAGAGGTGGGAAGGGTAGGGGAAAAGAAATAAGTAAAAGAAAAAAAAAGCATGAGAAAATGGAAATAAAGTATTTGTAAATAGGGAAGGGAGGAGGGTGTGAAGGGAGGGCAGGGACAAGGGGAAAAAATGAAAACCAAGGCCTGTCATGTAAAGGTACAAGATCCCAATGATGAATGTAACTGTACTGTAACCTAAAATGTACCAATAAGATCAAAGAGAAAAAAATTAAATTCTAAAATTCCAGTAGCTATATTAGGTCGGTTTAAAAAGCAGTTTAAGAAAGAATAAAATTAGAATGATCCCAACCACCTGAAGATATTTGCCAAATTGTTCTTCCCAAAGCGTTTTCATTTTCCTTGCCTGATGAGGAAAAAAAGAAAAAGGAGTAAATACATTAAAACAAACAACAGCAACAACAATAAAACAAAACAAAACGGAAAGAACCAGGCATGAGCATTGTAAATTGTGCTGCTCTCTCCTTTATGTAAAATATTCTGAAACATTTTATAATTTAGATATATTATGGATATAACCACTGTGAGCAAGGCTGCTTGGGTTTGAACCAGCAGATCTAAGGCAAAGAATTAAATGGCTTTCTTTCCTCACTTGCAAAGTGTAGAGTATTATTACCAATTCTGTAAGATTGTTGATAACATCCAATACAGTAATACATTACAAAATGCTTATGCAAGAGCTTGACATACTGGAAGCACTCACTAAATACTAGTGATTGTTACTTTCCCTGAGGTAGCCACTTTCTTTTACTACAACATCCCTATTATTAATGAGGACAAATATGAGATAGATATTTACAGAAACATTTTCATTAAATATAAATTTTCAAATAAAATTAAACATTTATTTCCACAGCAATTATGACATTCATTTATTTTACAACTTCTAATAGACCATTTTCGTCCATAGGCAGTAGATTTAATCACTTCATTAGCATCTGCTTTGGCAGTAGTACCAGGAAGACTTTTCTTTTCTTCTCTTATACTTTTGTCACTTAATGTACATACATATGCATTTAAATATATACATGTGTATGTGTAATTTATACATATGTGTATATAGATGTATGATTTATTGGGCAGGCCATAAGATTGTTCGTTTGGCTTCTTTTCTCTATATTCAAATTTAGTTAGCTACAAAAGCAAGATATTTCTCCAGAGCTCTGAACTCCCACTGCTAAACCACAGTCTTATTCATCATTCTTTTTGTAACATTTTTCCCATGGGTGCTAAAGCCTGACCACAGACTTTAACATGCAACAGAATGGGAAACTGGAAAATTCTGTCACTAAACCACAGACTGATTTAATGTGACAGTAACAATTTGCTTTCTCTGGGCTACTATTAAGGTGCACCGAGTTTCTCAAATTGGCTACTACTGATAGAAAATTGCTTTTATGGATTATATGAAGCTAAAGCGTTTCTGCACTGGAAATAAAGTAAGCAACAAAGTAGCATGTGGTATGGCACAAAATACTTGCAAGCCATAAATCTGGGAAGGGGTGAATGTATGGAATATATATGAAAGGACCTGAATAGATATTTCTCAAAAGGAGACTGGCATAGATCAGTGGATTTTTACAGTGTGGTGTTAGGAAAAACTGCACCAGTTTTATTTGAAACTGGTTAAAAATGAAAACACTTAGGCCCTGCCAGAGACCATAGAATATTGGAAATGGAGGAGAGTAATCTCCCTTTTAAGAAGCTCTGAATCTATGAATGCTGAAGCTTAGTCTTGAGGGTTTAAGGAAAATGAATCTGTCTTCTAATATATTTTGTGTGTTTTAATTTAATTTTGTAAATCTCAATTGATAATAATTGTCTTTCATAGCCATAAAGCTCATTTTTTCATTATTTCACTATAAAAATGATTTCACATTAAAATTCATTTTACTTTCATTAGTACTGTTTTAGTTGATTTAATTCATTTAAATTTTATATTTTTGTTAGTGCAATTTTCCTTTGGAAAGAATTTGTCATTAAACAACCCAAAATAGTTTTTTTAAAATCATCTATAAGAAAGAAATCCAAACAAAATAAATAAAAACAATTCTAGCTTGAATAAGCTTCCAATCATAGATTCAAAATAGAATCATTGGTGAACTGAGATACTTACATTAGTTATTATGACTATAAATTGAGTTATAGGTGTTCCAGTTTGTGGATACAGAAATGAGTACCGTATCACTTTAATAAAAAATGCTAGTATCATTTACTGATGAGTGGCTATATTTCCCCTTGAGAGAATATTTATTCCTGGGTACAGAGAAAATGATATGCCTGTGTGTGTGTGTGTGTGTGTGTGTGTGTGTGTGTGTGTGTGTGTTTCTATATAATTGAGTATCTAATGTGAATGAGGCACTGACTTTCCTTTATGGAGTTACTTTTGTATTTTTTACTGAAAGAGAGATAACAGAGTAAAGGCAAAGGGATGAAAATGGATCCATTGTAAGTGGATTTGTCTACTTAAGGAGAAGTTGGGCAGACAATTTGGAAAGGCAACATCTGAGCAGAGACCTAATGAAGGGTGTGTACAAGCTCTGCAGCTGCCTAACGAAAGCATCAGGGCTTGAAATACACAGCCATCGCATGGAGTCATCTCTACACAGGCTCATATTCTGATCCTATTTTTTCACGAACTGACAATTAAATCATCCAAATATTAGTGTACCTTAATTTAAAATGTAGAGTCTAAATATTTGTTTCAGACCTTGTTATGTGAAATAAACTAGGTACAGAAATTTGTTTTAGACATTATTATGTGAAATAAAGTAGATACAGAAAGATTTCAAATAGGTTTTTGTTTCTTTGTTTGCTTGTTTGTTATGTAAGAGGGGTTCAGCTATGCAGTTCGGGCTGTCCTTAACCTCACTACACAGCCCAGACTACACTTGAACTCATTGTGATCATCCTTCCTTGGACTCTCAAGTGCTAGGATTACAGGCCAGTAAGAATCCAAGTATATTAAGTGGCAACCACAGAGCCTGGGTATAACACACATTCCAACAGGTTGATTTAATTTGATTCTGAGTATTTTAAGTTACTTTAGATATAAGCATCTACTTTTCTTTCATTTCCATATATGACAATTTATTCATCATCAGTTTTTATCATTCTGAGTGGCCTGGATCCCTTCATAAATACACGCCTTATAAACATTTAGAACAGAGTTTCAAACTGCTTGTACTTTCTATTCACCACATCTAAGGTTAGGACATTTAAATTTGTTATTATTGGGAAAATATTTTATATCTTTATGACTGTTGTTTTATACAAAACATATTAGCCCTTAAGATCTAAGTATGCAAATGTAAATATTTTCAGAACAAATATGATTTTGAGTGTATTTCTGTCTATATACTAAGCCAACACCTTTGTGACACCCTTATTTATTGCAAATAAAGATTTATTTTGGT